TAGTTCAGGGACCAAAAAGGGGTTTTAACCATATTAGAACCATGTGTTTTTCCTTTGCTGGAGTGCTTGTTGCCAGCCAATTTTTGTGTGAATGTAGTTCTACATTTAGCTCCTTGGTGAAGGAAATTCCAATACAGGGTACACAGCTCTTTGTTGAGATACTAGAAAAATTCAGCAAACATTTTATCCAGTTGCCAATGGCCGTGTGCAAATCTTAGAAAGTTGTAGTAAGTAAAAATAGTTGGACTTGGAATTAACGAGGAAAATTATTTGAGTAATGAATCCAATCAAAGTTTATGGGGAAAGCAAGTAGTTACAAATTCTTTTGCAAGTTGAAGGATAGAGCCAAATTTGATTGTGAAATGTCCTTGGAGCATTGTATGTGAATGGTCAAGGACTGAAAACCTAGTCAACCAAGTTTCAATCTTAGCCAAAAAACTTTTTATGTGGAAAGAAATGTTGTGGGTCATTTACAACAGGGAAGGGATGCAATGTTCCTCTGCCTCATGTTAGACAAAAACTGGACAGTGACTGTCCATTTTCTTTACCATGGGAATTGGCTAAAGTTATTTCAGTGGGTATAAAATGGTCCATCCTCAAACTTAGTGGTTCATATTGTGTTTAGTGGGAAAACTTTATATCAATAAAGTAATAAAGAAGTTTATGAGTTAAATAAAAATAAAGTTATTTTATTTATTATTAATTAATTTTAAATTTGATATAAGTTTTGTGTTGAAATTTTATAACTATTAATATCACTTGTCTATTTTATTTTTAATAGAATGGATTTATAACTTTTGAATACTGTTTAATTTGAGTGATTTGAGACAAATGAGGGGAGGGGAAAAATATTTGATCCCATTCATAGGGTAAAATGATTTGCGTTTCATGTTAGTTGGCATTTCTTTTCTTTTTTTTGAATATGGTTACATTTTTGGGGGAAGGGGAATAACAAGGACTTGAAGTCCAATCTAATGAGAACTCCTATGTGGGGAGCTACTATTGCTCTACTTAGGAGTTCTCACGTTCCATGTTCGTTGTTAGAGGATATAATTTAAAGCTTTTTATTTGACATAGATGATTTATCTAATTCAATTTTATTATATCAAAAAGGTGGATTAAGTTTGATGTTTGAAAATTGATTCAGTATACTATCTACTCACAAAACAAAAAGTTTTATATTTTTTTTTATCTTAAAATAATAATAATTTTTTAATTTTTTAATTAAGAATTTAGAGACAATAATTGTATTTATTTATAATATCTTTTTTAAAAAAATAAAAGATGAATAGAGATTTTTTGTGATTAGATAATTAATTAGAGTAAATGAATAATGATAGAATTAAAATTAAAAAAATATTTGTCTATCTTGAAAATAAATATAACAATTAATTTAGAATAAATTTAAAATTAAAAATAACGGTTATTTCAAAATAAAAAAATAAAATATTAAGAATTTTTAAAGGAAATGAAAGGGTTAGTGCTATTTCTGTTTAAATAGATGGAAGTAAGAGAATCAATGGTTGTATATTTTTATTTAATTAAATACATATTTTTAAAAAGTATAATAATATTTCATAATTTAGTATAAAATAATGTAATTTTAAATTTTTTTAATTTTTTAAAAATTTAGTTAATAAATATTAATATCTTTTACAGGCAATGAAAGGGGTTTCTATCAATGTTATAGATACCATACCATACCGATTGGTACGATTAGTACATATTGATTTTTACATTAAATTGAAACAATACATAATCCAATTTCATTTCGATCAAAATTCGTCC